AGGGGGCCTGGGGTCTTCGACGGCAGGGGGCCCCCGCTGCCGAATTGCCGCAGAAGACCCGGCACTTCAGCGGCGGGTCCCGGGGCGGAAGGACCCCCCGCCGTGGGTCTTCAGGGCACTTTGGTGGCAGGTCCCGTAGCGGAAGGACGCCCCCACCGCTGAACTGCCGCTGAAGACCCGGAGCGGAAGAAGCTCCGGGGGCCTGGGCCCCGCGAGAGTTTTCCAGGGCCCCCGGAGCGAGTGAAGGACCCTGCTCCAGGGGCCCCGAAAAACTCTCGTGGGGGCCCCTGTGGGGCCTGGGGCAAATTGCCCCACTTGCCCTCTTCCCCCCCCCCCCGGGTGGCCCTGTTTCTTTGTGGGGAACCTCCCCACCCCCAGTCCTGCTGTTGTATTAATGGAAGTGTGGTGAAAACATTGTCCTCTTAGTTCTCTAGACTGGATAAACTACTAAAACATTTATTAGCAGCAATGAAACCAAAATATATTTCATGCTGAATTATATTCTATATTGCTAGGCATTGGGGGTGAAGAGGTGTAGAATACGCATTGGATCCTTTGCGGGGGGGGGGGGGGAATATCTGTTGGTTCTGCATGGAAAAGCAGTGTAGGTATAAATAAATATGAGTCTGCTTCTAAAGTATCTACCTTATTTTTAAATATTTTTGCGGGTGGAATAGTTACTATTGTTTATTCAGGGGTGTGTTTGTTACATTTCATGACAAAAATGGCCTTGTAAAGCATTTGTAGAAAGGATGATCTAAGTGATGTATCTGTGTAGGAACAGATTTGTTTCAAATCTAATTCAATATTTAATGCAAAACAATTAGTGAAATTTGTGAATTTATACTTCAAGGAACCAAATAGTTAAAGAATGGTCCAGCCTTATTAGGTATCAGTAGAACTTGAAACTCAAGCCTAGAATAGACTGCAATTCCTGCATTTGCCTATAAGTAACCATTCAGACAGCTTTATAATTTCCCCACTATTCATTTGTGCACCAACAAACTCTAGTTGAATCAACATCTGTTTTTCAAAGAAAGGAAATCTAACCCTCTCTTCTAATTTCCTGCATTTGTCATTTAAACAAATATCAATGAAGGATTCAACAAAATGCTATGTTCAGCCAAAACAATACATAAAATACTGTGTGCTTGTTTTATCCTCATTCTAACACCAAGTCCTCCCTCCAGTGGTTGCTGTTACATTTTTTTTTTTTAACTTTTGTCGAAAAGAATTGGTAAATTGTATTTTTTTCAAAGCAGAGTTCTCTTGTGCTTCTAGGTTGGCAGGTGATCATTTGGGTTTTCTATTCTTTCCTCAGTGGCAGGCTCATCACCTAGTAGATGAACCCAGTCTGGAAACTGTAGGAGCAAAGTACCCAGAGTCCTGTCTTTCACCTAACTTTTGCATATGGCACTACCCTAGTGTTGGCTTTACATTGATTTATCTGACTTATTTTTTAATTTAAAATATTCACTCCATGTTCAAAGAGGACAAATTTTATTTGTTTTCCTGACTAGTAACAATTCTTTAGGGACTTGTCTACAACCTGTAATTGTGTTAACTAACCTGTGTTAAAATAGGATTACAAATTGTTGTGTAGGCGAGGTCTGGGAGGACAAAGAACTAGACATCATAAGCTGCAGTGTCTAAAGTAGTTTCTTTGAAATATGTTGACACATTGATCAGGTGTTCTGGTTTCTACCACTTAGATGTTCATTAAAATGATTTTTTTTCCAAATGCCGTAATGGTATTTACATACAGTGTGGTGTCACCATTGCTTTGCTACAAATGCATATATTAATGAATGACAGGAATTTATATTCAATGAACTCTCGCTTAGTAGTCTGTTTTGCAACACTTGCAAATAATGAGACCAGATTTTCTGACTGTTGATTTAGGCATTTCCTCCTTGACATTATTTTGGTTGGGTGAGATATAAATTTAAAAAATAAATATGTTCCAGGAAAATTTAAATTCTCTACCTAGTTTTATTATTGTTTAAGTATCTTTTATGAGTGCAGCATTATTTTTATCTAGTAAAAATGTAAGTTTGCTAGAACATGCAGATTTTGTTAGTCTTGTTTAGATTAATCATGTTGAAATGTGTCAGAGTTGGAGAAGTGCAGAATCTGAGTTGGGGTCCTGGATAAAAGATGAGGTGAATTGGGGGAGCCTTAAGTTTTAGAGGCACTAAAAGTGTGCTGCCATTGCATGGTAGTAGAGTTTGAGCAGTCTTATGTGTGAGAACAAAGAAGAATGTTCTCCCATAGGTCATACTTGCTTAATGAATTACTGGACCTAATATCAGTTTTTAGAATGTATGTACTCTTTAGCTGACAAATAACCTTTTAAATTGTTGCATGTGATTTTTTTTCCCCTTTAAACCAGAAGATATAACAAAACATGTTACCTTGATACTACTTTTTCTCTAAGACCATGAGTGCATGATATCCATAGTATTCTAAATCTGCTAAAACAGAACATATGGCAGCATTTATGCTATTTAAATAAAATTAACCCCCTTAACCTTCCAACATTGGTTTGCTTATTAAATATCCCTGTTAACTAGTTAGTATCACAGTGACCTATCAAAACTGAAATGATCTTGGGGTTCCTACTTGTAGATGTAAGTCTGAGGGAGTTAGGAGTATATCAGACTTCATCCTATTAGTCTTTGGAGGGAAGATTAGCAAACCTATATTGGAAATTGTTCCAAATTTTTACAAAAATGTGGTTCATGCAAACACAGCCATGATAAGATGTATTGTGGAGAAGGATAAATCAAATGGATGGTGATTGAAATTTGTAACCAAGAATCCAAAAAGCTGAAGGGGAGAGGAGATGGGAGGGGTTCAATGCTCCCACAGTCCTTTATTTAAAAAAATAAAGCTGAGTTGCTATGTTGGTATTCTCCCTCATGTCAAATTCGAAGGTCACAGAGTTGAGTGTTTGAGGTCCTCTGCTGAAAATGGAAAAATATAATTATCTTTTGCTGCTAATGATCTCTCATACTAAATAAATCTAGGAATACTGCATGACTGGACACTTATTCTTTATAAATTCTAGATACTGAGTAAACAGGGCACACAAGAAATATTCCTGTGTTCTTTGTTTTGAAATAGTTACTCGGTAAAGATTACACATGACCTGTTGTTTATAGTTTTATTAATACATAGTGGATTCTCTGTTGGGATTGCAGAAGGCAAGAAGATATGATGATTGCTTTGTGTAGTTCACAGAAAAAAATTGCAGAAAGAGATGTTTTGAATATACTTTAAGCTCTAACCATTACTTGCAAACCCATATTTAAACAGTAGTGGTTATCAAGAGCTATGAAATATGTCCAATTCACATCAGTAAAAACCTTCTGCCACTTTATTCTCTGTAACCTAAGCCCCATCAGAAAATTAATACCAAATAAATGATGTCAAGTACACATATTAATGTATTTTTTCACACAGTGCACAGTCAACCTGTGGAACTCCTTGCCAGAGGATGTTGTGAAGGCCAAGATTATAACAGGGTTCAAAAAAGAACTAAATAAGTTCATGGAGGATAGGTCCATCAGTGGCTATTAGCCAGGATGAACAGGGATGGTGTCCTTAGCCTCTGTTTGCCAAAAGCTGGGAATGGATGACCGGGATAGATCGCTTGCTGATTACCTGTTCTATTCATTCCCTCTGGGGCAGCTGACATTGGCCACTGTCAGAAGACAGGATACTAGGCTAGATCGACCTTTGGTCTGAGCAAGTATGCCCATTCTTGTGTTCTAATATATATCAAATATATCAAACTACTTGTTGGCTGCATTTTTCAATAGTGTTTACCTTTGGTCATGCAGACTTATAATTCTGAATGTTTATTAGAAAAACTAAATTGGGAATTTATTATAATCTTGATTTAGGTATACCAGCTGTGCCACAATAAGGAAAACAACCTGGAGGTAAAAATGTAATAGAATAAGAGAGCAATAGACAGTGCCAAGAGTAACAGCAGTTTGTATTGCCACTGCTTTGGTTACAACTACATTGTGATGAATGATGTACTAAGCAGCTTTCTAAGTCTGCATGCGGGATACTCAGAAAAATTAATCTGATTTAACTAAGGGTGTGAATTTAAAGTGGATTGGTTAAACCACATTAAACTCCTATGTGAACACTCCTATTCCAAATTAAAGTGGCCTTAATTTGGTTTATCTTAATTCACATTGGAATTCACTGAAGTCCGTCCGTTTAAATTATAAGAGCATCTACATTGGGGCTTAATGCGGTTTAAATAATCCACTTTAAATTCACACCTTTAGTTAATTTGGATAAATTTTTGAGTGCTGCTGTGTCTTAAACTAGGTTGCTGTAATGTAACTCTAGTCACTGTGTGTAAATTTAGCAAAACCTAATCCTATGTGGGTATATTAAGGACAATAAATGGTAACTGCAGTTTAATATGGGAATAATCTAATTGGATTGGGGGTTGCTGTTGGTCCTTTATGCTTTTAGTTTATATCTTCCATTTGTTACATTGAGCTTCAATAATTACAAACCATATGCAATTTGGAAGAGCAACAGGTTCGCACTTCTAACCTTCTATTGGAATGATTGTAACGGAACATCAATTAGATTCTAATGAACTAATCTTTACCATTACCACTGTGAAATGGAATTCTTCACCAGTCATTGCAGGGTGGCTTATAAAGGGACCACACTATTTTTCTTAATTTTTTATGAGGTTGTTATATTTTTAAGTATGATATTGCTGTTAGTGGATTAATAAATGCATTAGTGGTTTCTCAAGGCAAGTGTAAAAATCAACCCTAACTTTATCTTTGTGAATAGTATATCAAATGTATTTTAAATTTTATTTCCAGCAGAAAACTCTCATTTTTGAAATCATTTATACATATATTTATATTTTAATGGTATGCATAATAACATGTGATATCTAGTTAAGCAGAGATCAATGAACTGGCTAGTTCCTGACTTTGATGATTGATTTTTAGCTCATCCTGTGAAGATTGATGTCCTTTTCCTTCATCACTTTAATTTTGTTGACAATTTGGATAAACATGGCACAGCTCCAGCAAGGAGGCCCAGATGAAAAAGAAAAAACTACTGCACTAAAAGGTATAAACTTCTTTGGTTTCTTTTTATATTTATATGTATGTGTGTATGTATGTATGTGTATGTATAGATATAAATTATTTCAGAGACATTTATTTAAGATTAAGGAAAGGGAAATAGAAACAGAATTCCTTTGTTGTAGCTGTGGTTTAGGATCCTGGGAATTACCAAAATGGATTAGACTGGTGGTCCATCTACTGCAGTATCCTGTCTCTAACAATGTCCAATATCCGTTGTTTCAGAGGAAGGCACAAGAAAACTGAACTTAGTGGTCAGTAATGGAATAACCTGTTTATAAGTTTATGTTTGCAGAAATTATCCTTCGAGAAGACAATTCATATAATTTAGGTATTCTTATTTTTCAGGAGCCACTGGGGAGGAATATTCATGTCAACTTCATGCTACTGATGTTTTATTGCTGAATAACTGTTTACAGTATTAAAAACCTCTTTAACTACACAGTGTTTGGAAATATATTTATAAGGCACTGATCCGAGTGAACCAACTGTACAATTATAGACTCGTGTATTTCAACAAAACAAATAACAGTAGGAATTCGGATCTAAATGGTTTAATGGATAAAATACTTTTTACTTCAGGGCTAATTAACTGTAGTCCTCTTCTAGATAGTATTTTTCGAGTCTGGAAGTACATAGGATAGATTAGTCCCACAACTCATCTGACAAAAAGACTGGATTTCTGGAGATTTGACATAATTTCTGTTGCACTGGGGGTAAGCACACATTGCAAGTTCTTGCATTATACCATTATTATCTAAATACGCCTCTACAAAGGAAATAAAAGTACATTTTGAAACACCAATGTTAAAATTGGATGTCTACAAATGCATTGATAAAAATTTACCTTTTATGAAATGATTATTGTAGAGTACATACTTCTATTATAAGCCTGTGCTTTTTGAGACCTTTGAGTAAAACTAAGTTCTCTTGCTGCTGCTCAGTATAAAGGTGCATTTTTGGGGAAAGGTTCGGTGAAATTCCATTTTGTCATTTATCAGAGATGATAGTATTTTTGACAAGTTTAAAAATTTACAGGTAATTATTTTCTGCACTCAGAAAACTAAAACTTGTCTTCAAACTTATCATTGACTTAATCTTAATTAAAGCGACATGTCTTGGAATATTCCAAATGATGAAGTTGTCAGTGTTGGAAAGTTGTATACTTCACATGATTTAGTTAATAGATATTAAGTCTTAGACTATCTCCTGCTGGACATCAAACTTAAACTCTAGTGAACCAACATGGAGATGAGTTCCAGAGTCAAGGTCCTCTGCCTAGAATGATTAACCAGAGCTCCCAAAAGCTCACATCTAAGGACAGTTAACAGTAGTAACTCAGCTAATCTTAGCTATGTCAAGAGGGTACCTAGGAAAAGAGCAGTCATCTAAGTAGCAAGAACCCAGGCCAAGTGTGGCTTTGTAGATTATTACTTTGAATTGCCCTTGTCACCAGTAGGAAACTAGTCCTGAATATGGAACAAATGTAATATGCTCCATGTGGCCCACACTGTTAAGAAGTGGGCTGTGCTTTTCTGCACTTACTGAAACATCTGTGTAGTCTTCTTGGAGCTACCCTCCAAGCAGAGCAAATTACAGAAGTGTGAGAACTGTCATGGAGTTCAATTTTGAGAGAAATGGACACAACTTCCTAGTAAGGCTGTCGATAAATCGCAGTTAACTCGCGCGATTAACTCAAAAAAATTAATCGTGATTAAAAAAATTAATCACTATTAATTGCACTGTTAAACAATAGAATACCAATTGAAATTTATTAAATATTTTTTCATGTTTTTCTGCATTTTCGAATGTATTGATTTCTATCTACAACACAGAATACAAAGTGTACAGTGCTCACTTTATATTATTTTTTATTACAAATATTTGCACTGTCAAAATGATAAACAAAGGAAATAGTGTTTTTCAGTTCACCTCAGACAAGTACTGTAGAGCAATCTCTTTATTGTGAAACTAACTTACAAATGTAGATTTTTTTGTTTGTTACATAACTGCACTCAAAACCAAAACAATGTAAAACTTTAGAGCCTACACGTCCACTCAGTCCTCCTTCTTGTTCAGCCAATCACTAAGACAAACAAGTTTGCTTACATTTGTGGGAGATCATGCTGCCCACTACTTATGTACAATGTCACCTAAAAGTGAGGATAGACATTTGCATGGCACTTTTATAGCTGGCGTTGCAAGGTAGTTACATGCCAGATATGTTAAACATTTGTATGATTCGGCCACCATTCCAGAGGACATATTTCCATGTCGATGATGCTCATTTAAAAAAAAAAATACGCTAATTAAATTTGTGACTGAACTGCTTAGGAGGAGAATTATGTCTCTTGTTCTGTTTTACCTGCATTCTGCCATATATTTCATGTTATAGCAGTCTCGGATGATGACCCAGCACATGTTTGAAGAATAGTTTCACAGCAGATTTGACAAAATGCAAAGAAGGTACCAATGTGAGATTTCTGAAAATAGCTACAGCACTCGACTCAAGGGTTAAGAATCTGAAGTGTTGTCCAAAATCTGAGAGGGATGAGGTGTGAAGCATGGTTTCAGAAGTCTTAAAAGAGCAACACTCAGATACGGAAACTATAGAACCCTAACCACCAAAAAAGAAACTCAACCTTCTGCTGGTGGCATCTGACTCGGATGATGAAAATGAACATGTCAGGCCACTCTGCTTTGGATCGTTATCGAGCAGAACCCGCCATCAGCATGGATTCATGTCCTTTGGAATGGTGGTTGAAGCCTGAAAGGACATATGAATATTTAGCACGTAAATTTCTTGTGACGCCGGCTACAACATTGTCATACGAACGTTTTTTCTCACTTTCAGGTGACATGGTAAACAGGAAGTGGGCAGCATTATCTCCTGCAAATTGTAATCAAACTTGTTTGTCTGAGTGATTGGCTGAAGTAGGACTGAATGGCCATGTAGGTTCTAAACTTTTATATTGTTTTATTTTTGAATGCAGTTATTTTTCGTACATAATTCTACGTTTGTAAGTTCAACTTTCATGATTGCACTACAGTACTTGTATTAGGTGAATTGAAAAATACTATTTCTTTTGTTTTTTACAAATATTTGTAATACACTTCGTATTCTGCATTGTAATTTAAATCAATATATTTGAAAATGTAAAAAATATCCAAAAATATTTAAATAAATGGTATTCTATTATTATTTAACAGTGCAATTTATCACATGATTAATCGCGATTAAATTTTTTTCATCGCTTGACAGCCCTACTTCCTAGCCAAGTACAGTTGGCTCTCTTGGACATTGCTGTCTTGGACACTGCTGCAACCTGGTGCTGTAAAAGCAGAGAAGGATTTTTAAAAAACAAAACAAAAACCATCCTTCTTTAACAAAGGACCTCTTCTCCTTCCTCTCCAACCTTTCCGCTGTATAAGGGGCTGAAAGAACTCGTGCCAAATTTTTCAGACACTTTACTTTACCAACCAATATAATCTCCCACCTCAACTGAGCTAAAAGAAACTCCCTTGAGACTGTATTACCCAGATCTGGGGTAGAAGAGCGATAGAGATGAGTTGTTGGCATGCTGTTTCCAAAAACATTTCCCAGTCTTCTCTAGTGGTCTTACAGTTACTCAGGGCTCGTCTTCACTACCAGGGAGATCGACGCTGTTGCAATCAATGCAGGGGGTGTCTATTTAGCAGATCTAGTGAAGACCCGCTAAATCGGTGACAGAGTGCTCTCCGGTTGACTCCGGTACTCCAGCTCCCCGAGAAGAGTAAGGTAAGTCGACCAGAGAGCGTCTCCCATCGATGCAGCACAGTGAAGATACCAGGGTAAGTCGACCTAAGCTTTGTCGACTCCAGCTATGTTATTCATGTAGCTGGAATAGTGTAACTTAGGTTGACTTACCTCGGTAGTGAAGATAAGCCGTCAGATACCAGAATCTATGTAGACAGGCATTGAACCTTGTGGAACCCCACAAGATGTCCTTTGGGAGTGGATAAAAAATTGTCCAACGTTACTCAGTGGGATCTCTCAGAAAAAGAGGACTAGACATAATTAATTATACCCACCCTATCAAAGCATTAAATAAAACATTTTTGTCAGATATGTTGTTAAAATAAACCAGGCATACAATGCTGTGTTTGCAGCAAACAGTCCTGTGGCACCTTATAGACCAACAGACGTATTGGAGCATGAGCTTTCGTGAGTGAATACCAATGCATCCGACTAAGTGTGTATTCACCCACGAAAGCTCATGCTCCAATACGACTGTTGGTCTATAAGGTGCCACAGGACTCTTGCTGCTTTTACAGATCCAGACTAACACGGCTACCCCTCTGATACTCGAATGCTGTGTTTTTCTTTTTAGATTTATTGTCTAGAATAGACTTGGATGAACTGATGAAAAAAGATGAGCCACCACTTGAGTTTCCCGATACACTTGAAGGATTTGAGTATGCCTTTAATGAAAGTAAGTAGAATGTGCTTTGTGAAGATTCTACTTGGAAATTGTATAATATTAACAGATTATTAGAAAATGGATTATACCTTGTAAAGCCTTGCTAGAATTTCTTAGTTTTCTGTTAAGAAATAAAGTTTTATCCTTAAATATAACTTTTACGCTGTCTGGAGTGGCTCATGACCATGAGTGCCTACCTCAGAGCAGACTGTCAAAAACAGGGCAAACATCTCAAACTGGTGGTGTGTTCTATAATTAGATTTTACCAAGACAGTAACATATATGAACTCGTGGATCACTATAACAGTCTTACCATGGAATCACAGACATGGTGACACAGACAGTCACCAAGACAACCAGACTTAGTGATAGTCACTTACACCAAAAAACACACCACATTCAGGTTGCTTCCAGTCCCAGGAGACCAGTCACTTATCACAGATCAGTTGGTACCCTAGATCTTGTACCAAAGCCAACACTTGTACCGAATCCTGTAATAAACTACGTGACATTTTATTAACTAGGAAAAAGAAATGAGAGAGTTATTTACAGGTTAAAGCAAGCAAACATATACACACAAGTGAGTTACCATCTAAATCCTAAGAGTGACATAGTTGTTGTGATCAAAGTGTCTTTCAGGGGAGACTCTGGCTTAAGTTTAGAATCTTTGGCCCTTCAAACAGCCAAAAAGATGCAGTTTCTTCATGTCAGGGATTTTTATTTCTTTTCCCCCAGAGCTCAAGATGATTGGACAAGTTCACATGCAGGTCCCCTCTTCATGGGTGTTGGGGGAGCAATAAACAAAGTCATTTCCACAATGAGTCCACAGTGGTTCTTCTGGTATCTATGGGCCTTACTCTGTTGGGCGGGAGATAACACCTCCTGTGGCAAACTAGTATTTCACAGTTCGTAATAGGTTTCAGAGTGGTAGCCGTGTTAGTCTGTATCAGCGAGGAGTACTTGTGGCACCTTAGAGACTAACAAATTTATTTGAGCATAAGCTTTTGTGGGCTAAAGCCCACTTCATCAGATGCATGCAGTGGAAAATACAGTAGGAAGATCTATCTATCACACATACAGAGAACCTGAAAAAATGGGTGTTACCATACTAACTCTGAGACTAATCGATTAAGGTGGGCTATTATCAGCAGGAGAAAAAAAAACTTTTTGTAGTGATAATCAGGATGTTTCTCTCCTGACTGTTCGGGTTTACCATTTCGGAGCAACACTTCTACAGTTACAGACCATAACATTTAAATATTATCTTATAACATGGGATATAGATATTAAGTGAGATTAATGCATGCAGCAACATACAAGCAAAACCAACATACAGGTGACCTGATCTGGTTTCCAGCTATGATGTTGTCAGTTCTTAACTAATTCCTGCAGCCTGGGCAAGAGCTGGCATCTAGCCTACCAGCGTCACAATAATGCTCTTGGAAATCTAGCTAAGTAATTTCAAATTTTGCAGAATTGTCGAACAGTCCTTGGTCCAACACGTTGTTCCATCATTTAGATTTGTACAATATATACATATGTAGATTGTTCCAACTTCCTTTCTTTCATTATGAAATATTTGATTCAAAAATTGTAAAAATTATTTCTAAAGCTATTTATTTTTAACATTTAAAATTAAATTGATGTCCCTACCACTAGTGATATTTTACTTACAGACTCAATTTACTCATTGATGGAGAAAACTACTACTGTATTATTAATAATTTAGATAGCAATTTATGCATTTGAGTTAAACTTGAAAATTCCATGTCTGTTGATGGGAAAATAGTTCTTCAGAAGGGCATTCTCTGGGAAAACAGAATAAATCTCTGAATTAGCAATGGGATGCTGTCTTTTACTACAGTTCACAAGTTTGAATCCAGGATACGTTAGTAGAGACCACAAGTTACCACCATCTATTTGGTGATATATGTTAAATATGTTGGTGGTTTTTATAATTGTCTAATATCTACATTATAAAATCCATCTCAGTTGGTACCCATATTATCAATCTCAGATGAGAAATGAAGGGTTGAATAGGCATGGAGGCTAAAAAAATATCAGATTCCCAGAAGGGGCTCCTACGAAATTGTTTGAAACCTGTAGTAGGGCAGACTGGGAAGTTTACACTCCTATTGCCATGCAGTGTCTGTTCTGTGAATAGAGAACTTTAGTTTCTAATGCTGTCTTTTTTACACCTTCCACTTTTAAGGAGGAAAAAAAAATAGCTTTCCTTTAAATGATAGTCATTTATGCAACACTTAGCTTTTTAATATCCTGATGGCTTTCAAAGGAAGGTACTTAGAGACTAAAAGTGTCATGAAAGTGATGCTCATTCTTTGATGGGAGGGGTTAACTCTGTCACTTTTCAGTTTTTTTTTTAAAGATATGTACAGCCTCTACTATTGTCTGTCTGCTCTACTGACTTCAGAGTTAATGGTGCACATGTGGTTTCTAAAAGGAGAGGGGCTGAAATCTGAATGTGGGGGGGATGATGGTTTAGAATTATATTATTAAAAGTTCCATCACTAATGTAATAGCCTGAGTGACTTCCTTAGGGAGTAACAAACCCTATAACATATGCTTCTGGTTAGGGTATTGCCAAAGGGATCTGTTTTGCTCGGATATTTATAATTTATATATACTGTAGTACATTTTTATATCATAATCTGTATGTTTCTCTTTGTGAAGGAGTAGTAAGCAAGCTGTTTTATTTTCTGCTTTGTAGAATTTGAGAAGATGGGGTTTCCAAACATTTTAGGAATACTTGAAAATAAACTACAGTTCTTACTAGATATTTGCTATGATTCCTTAGGGAGATAAGAACTTCATCAGTAACCTGCTTTAAAACAAGCTATACTGAATAGTAACTAGCTAAGAAGCAACAACTGAGCCTAGAAATTTAAAAAATGTAGAAGTCTTAGAGTATGGTGATGATTCCATGAAGAGAGGGATATTGGGACCTGAGATATTGGATACGAACTTGGGAAGGAACATTTCCCTAGAGGTTAGTAATTGGAAAAATATACTGAAACTGAGGTAATAGCAGGGCTGAGAAAGTCAAACCTCTTCTATTATTAAATGAGCAGGTTTATAAGCAAGTACACTGAAGACAACAGAAAGCTCTCAAATATTTTGTTTGCAGCTTCAGGAGTTTTCAAAACTAATCTTTTAAGCAACCTTTTCATGCACAGAATTCTTTATCAAAGCTTAGAATTCACAAGGAGATATCAGCTGAGTTAATGTCTTTGTCTTCATGTTGCAGAGTAGGAAAATTTCTGCTAATAAACCATGCTTCTGTCCTTCAGATATTTCAGCGTTTTAGGATAATGTGCTTAGATATTGTTTTTAATCATTTCTCTTGTTAAACACAACTTTATACTACCTTTTGTGGCCATAACATTTTATGTTTTTTATTTTGGCTAATAAGTTAAAATATAACAGGTAAAGTATCTGATATACTTCTCCCTATCCCAGTCTTTGTGGGCTGCCATTTTATTCCTCAGTCATTTCCATCTAATCCCTTCCTTCATCTGTAGCTGAATGTGCTACTATTCTTCAGCTCTGAAGCTAAGAGATTGTAATGTTGCGCTACAAAAAAAATTGCTGTGGTGTGCACATTCTTCTTCGACATGCTGCATCATTTTTCTACTATTAGCTCAAGGTGTAAGAGTTCCAAGGTGTGTTCTGAACTAAAGTCCCCCGCTTGATTGCATTTGGGTGCTAAGGCATTTGACTTGTAACTGAAACTATGTTTTAGAGATTGAGCTTAATTTTCAAAAATTCTTTTCCTTTTTGCATTGCAATGTGCCACTCACGCTTTTTACACATGCAATTTAATTGAGTACATATGAATAATAGTTGGTATATAGTTACCTGGTTGGTTAGCTAACAGTCTGATTTTTGTACCATTCAGTTGCTAATTCTTCATTTTGGGGCATTCTTTTTAGGGACACAAATATTAGTTGTATAACAAGTTGCCAGGCCGAAATTTGGGCTTAAAGCTCAATATGTCACCGTTCGTGCTTCACTTGATTCAGAGGTGAATGTGAACTAGAAGTGAATGTGATGGTGGTCTTGCTGCGGTCCATTTGGTTTAAGTGCCCTACATTGTAATTGGGGAGGGAGGGAGAATAATGTGATATATGAATGAAAGTGGTTCTACTTTCAGATGAACATTGTCTTTTGCTTTCAACAGTGAATTGTTACCTCTGCTTTTAAAACTCTTAAAATGTATATTTAAATCTAATATTATTGTTTCTTTTATAGAGGGGCAATTAAGGCATATAAAAACTGGGGAGCCATTTGTTTTTAACTACCGTGAAGATTTGCATAGATGGAACCAAAAGCGCTACGAAGCTCTTGGAGAGGTATATGCTGTGTGTGTGTGTGTGTGTGTGTGTGTGTGTACACTATGTGTGCTGTAGTTTTCTTCTGTGTATTAAAATATAGGTAGAAATGAAATTTTAATTCCTACTTGTTCTTTAAAAAAATGTTCTGCGTTTTAATGCTCTAACAATAATTTAAATTATTTACTGTGTAATTTATAGTGTTGTAGTTTAAGTCCTGGACTACATCTTTTAACCCTCTTTTGTGTTTAAAGTAGAATATAGTTTGGACGGTACAAACAGAAAAGAGACAAGGTGGGTGAAAGTCTTTCTTTCACCAACAGAAGTTGGCCCAATAAAAGATATGTCGGCCACCTTGTCTCTAATATCTGGGACCAACACAGCTACAACAACACTGCAAACGAACAGAAAAGAGTATTTTTCATATCTTATGATAGCTTTTTTTAAAAAATACATAATTTCTCTAACTTTCCTCTCCACCAGCCAAAGAATAGGTACTAAACTCTTGTGACATCATTTTCCATATGGAAGGGACATATTAGCTGAATCTGCTGATTTCTCTTCTTGTCTTCAGCTGGTGGAGAGAGTGATCAGGCTTGCTAAAATAAATGTTTGGATTTGACCATTTTTGTTTTGGCAAATGGTTTTTCCAAATCTTTTACTTTCAGTCAGGATAGTTTGGAATAGGATGCTTGTGTTATTTTCTTTCCCTTTGCTTACTGAAGTATTCTATAGAGATGTGGTGAATTTGCTCTGGAGCGTATAATACCTCTTTCAGTTGTGCGAGAAAGTGGCTTTCCAGTTTCTGTGTCCTATTTCTTATGCATGGGAAGCCGTAGCATTGAGTTGACATGAAAGGATACTTTTGGCCACAGGGGCTGTAAGAACATGCATGTCTGGGTCTGTACTGCTCTGCCCTGATTGTTCCTGCCCAATAGCAGAGAGCAGTTTGAGCACAGTGACCTGTCAGTATGTTGGTTCTGCTGTAGTCAGTGGCTTTTGGAGACCTTCCCTGAAAACAAATTCTTTAATGCACAAATTGGTGCTGTTTTCTCAGAGACTTTGTCTCTTGTTGTCCATCCTTGAGAGGGACCGTGGCACTATCAACAAAAAAAACTGTGATCAACCTTTGCCTCTGCTCCTCATTCATTGGCCATTTTGCCTGACTGTGGGATCAGGCTCATTTTTTTAAATGCTTTGGTCTTCATTTCCTCTTTCTGTAAATTTAACTCACATTACTGAGGGATGTATTTGATTGTGAACATATTTAGAAAACATTGTCTTTTTGAAATTTCCTTTCTGTTCAAGCGTAACCATGTTAAAATATTAAACACAACAGCTCACAACCGACTGTGCCAAAATAAATAGTATAAATTATCTTGAACTGGTTTCTGTGACTGCATAATGAGAAATGTACTTAAATTTATCAGTTTTTTTTTTTAATTCTCTGCTGCTTGTGATGGTGCCAAGGGTATATTTATTAAGATTGAACATATATATATAAATATATAAAATTAAGGGGTGTTTTCTAGTTATAACAGGATTTTTGTATATTCTGAGAAATTCTGTAGACATTGACTAAGCAGGCTCAAGCAAAGGGTAGAGAGCACTAGTCACAAAAGTGATTGTGTGCTCCTGTACCTGATTGATTGGATAGCATAGACAATATTACTCCTCCTCTGACTGAGCCATGGTGGAATGAATGGAGTGTGATCCGAGGAACTAAATCTAGTCAAAGTAGAGATTGCTGGGTGTAGCAGTTGGGACAAGTCTAGAGAATGTGCAGAAAGGAAGGATGCCCTTCCTATAGAAACTGAGGAATGGAGAGGAAGGGGACGAGGATACAGGTGTTAAAAAGGAGATGTATGCACACACACGCGCGCACACACACCTCAAATATATATAGTATTTGTTTTATGTAACATAAATAGTGCACCATCATGCAAGAAAAAACACCTAATTTATATGGCAAAGAAATGTAAATTACAGAAAACCTGTATCAGAAAATTTCTATGGGATTACCTAAATAATATGTATTAAAAATTTGGTTACACTACCACCTCCCTTTACTGAGATAGCATAAATTAAATCGAGTGGTGGAATATTTTTCTGAGTTAATATGTCAAGAATATGCCATGGATCTACAAAGAATGTAGAATTTTTCATCGTGATATAGAAGAACGTTCATCACTTATGAATAGCATAGCCTTGAGTGGAAAACATAATCAATCCTTTGAAGTGTTAAAATCACCTTTGTATTACATAATCATGTGATGCAATTCCATATTTTTAAAATTGTGTCTTGGTTTTAATTTTGCATTTCTAGTACAGTGCTTCTCAAAGTTGGTCCGCTGCTTGTCCAGGGAAAGCCCCTGGCAGTCCGGGCCTGTTTGTTTACCTGCCGCGTCCACAAGTTTGGCCGATCGCGGCTCCCACTGGCCACGGTTTGCTGCCCCAGGCCAATGGGGGCTGTGGAAAGTGGCGCGGGGCGAGGGATGTGCTGGCTGCCCTTCTTGCAGCCCCCATTGGCCTGGAGCGGTGAACCGCAGCCAGTGGGAGCCACGATCGGCTGAACTTGCGGACGCGGCAGGTAAACAAACCGGCCCGGACCTCCAGGGGCTTTCCGTGAACAAGCGGCAGACCGGCTTTGAGAAGCACTGTTCTGGTAGACCTGCTGCTGTTTCTACTCTGTTTCTATTTAGTTGTGTTGGCTTAACAATCTGAGGCAAAGCTGAAGGCCATCAGCTTTTCAACCAGTCATGAACTGCAAGAAAATGCCAACCATAGTGGTTACCCATGCTTAAATAAAATATTCATTTAAAAAAAATCTATGTTAAAAATAACACTATTGGTTGCAAAGTCAAGCACTTAAAATTTAGGAAATGCCAGAATAATTCACATTATTTTCCTGGCCCAATTACTATTCATTTTCTTTCATAGTGGCAGTTCATTGTCATCATAAATTACTATGAATAGACATTAGTCTAGGGAAAGAGCATGTGAATGACCTATAACCTGGTAGTTAATGCACTCACATAGGATGGGGAGACCCAAGTTGAAGACTCTACTTCACTGACTATTTTATTATTTATAAAATTTGGAACAGTTTCAACAAGAAAGATATTGAGGGGCTCACGCCAGAATCTCTGTGACGAAGTGGGACTGTTCTTAATGTTTCCTCTGAATACTGTGTGGGTGCCTGAGTTTCCCCTATGCATTTCTTAAGTCTCCAGTGTGCATAAATGGAGACTCTGTATCCTGGCAACAAATGGCTGGGGCCCTTCCCCCCAGCCAGGGAATAGCTAAAGGTAAACAAAGAGATCAGGTGACCTCCTGGCCCAAAGAGACAAAGGCTAGAAAGGAGGGGCTGGAGGCGGTTTCAGTTTGGAGCTGGCTGGGGATGGGAAGTGAGGGCAGATGGGGTTGTCTGGCTCACTGGGCCCCAGGATGGACCCAGCTGAGGGGTCCTGTTCTCTGTACCTACAAGCTCTGCTTTAGACTGTGTTCCTGTCATCTACTAAACCTCTGTTTTACTGGCTGGCTAAGAGTCCCGTCTGACTGCGAAGTGGGGGTGTGTGCAGGACCCTCTGGCTTCCCCAGGACCCCGCCTGGGCGGACTCGCTATGGGAAATGCATGGAGGGGCCTATGCTGAATGCTCCAAGGTCAGATCCAGGAAGGTGAAGCCGTGTGAGCTTCTTGCCCTGAAGACAGTCTGCTCCAAGGGAGAGGAGGCTCCCCAAAGTCCTGACTGGCTTTGTGGGGAGCAGTTCTAGAGCATCTCCTGGGGACTCAGTGTCAATCCCATAACCCAGTGGCTAGGTGTGATGTTCCCCTCTGGTGTTGTGTGGACCGGTGATCTGCTAGGCCACTCCAATCCTTGACTCTGGGAGCCAGCCTTATTTAGCTCTGTTGTCAGAACCCCCACTCCTGGGCTGTTCACGCACAGCCTCTGGCATGTAAGGTACTCCAGCTACTTGCAAGAGAATGATACTAGCCAATATCTCCAGTCCCAGAGACAATCCTAGGAACCTCCATCTTGCAGTGTCTGGTTATGCCCACTGGACGCTGCAAGCTTATATGAGTTCGTCAATTTAACAAAGAAATTGATATGTACCAGGCTTGTTCTCCCAAGGGGAGTTTCTGACACCCTGCAAACCAAACACACTGGTTCAGGTAGAATAAATAGATTTATTAACTATAAAGGTAAATTTAAGTGATTATAAGTGAAAGCATAACAAGTCAGATTTGGTCAAATGAAATAAAAGCAAAATGCATTCTAAGCTGATCTTAACACTTTCAATGGTCTTATAAACTTAGATACTTCTCACCACAGGCTGGCTGCTCTTCAGCCAGGCTCACCCTTTTGATCAGTGGTTCAGTCGCTTGGTGGTGGTGGTGTCTGTAGATGTAAGTGGAAGAGAAAGAGTATGTCAAAATGTCTCTCCCTTTTATCATGTCCTTTCTTTCCTCCTGGCTCCTCTCCCCGCTTCAGAGTCAGGTGAGCATTACCTCATTGCAGTCCCAGAAGGGGGTGACTCCTTCAAGGGTCTAACAGATTCTTTTGTTGCTGCCTAAGCCAGTGTCCATTGTTCCTGCGAGGCTGGGCTTGGTTTGTCCCCATCCATGCCCTGACGAGGTGTGAACTGCATCCCTATTCTTGGAGAGTTTTTGCATGGGCTTGCTTTAAGCCATGAGGATACATTTGCAGCCTCATAACTATATACATGAAATTATAACCTATAACATTACTGTAACGATTACTATAACATCACTATAACAACCATGCTCAGTGCAGTTTGAGCATTCTGAAGACACCCAACATGACAAACTTTGCACTGGATACTGCACAATCATTTTATAAAGATGAACATGGGGGTGCTGGGTGTACCCCCAAGGTACAGAGCATCACACTAGGACACACTCCAGTAATGTAGAAGACCTATGTTCAAATCCATTCTGCACATCAGGCAGACGCGGGAATTGAAACCATATCTCCCACATTCCAGGTGAGTGTCCTAAC